GACTGACCTGACCAATGCTACCGATGATCCGGAAATGAGACGCTGAGGATCTGTGGTAGATGAGTCAAGCATTCCATAAGTGCCAGATTTTGCGCTGGGAACATTCACGATCATAAGAGAAATTAACTTTCGCATTTTTATTTATGATAATAAATTTATCATCCCAGGAGAACTAAAATGTGGTGCGTAGAGATGAATAGTCGATCGCGAAAATTTTTAGCCGGCTTAGCATAATGAATGTATGCAACGTCGCAGTTCCAACTTTTCGTAAGGGTATTTAATGTTTGGTACAGATGGCACAGATTTGCTGTAACGCACATTTTCTAAAAGGCTTACTACACATGAAAAATATGTAAAAACTGGCAGAGTGAGAAACGGAGCTCACTAGTGTATCAATAGCAGATGAAATGGCGAAGTAGGTAATCTTCCTTATTTCTCGTTGACCCTCTTCGCTTAAGGGCTGTGTTTCAAGAAGGTCCTCATCTATCACGATGAACATGTTGACGCTGTTCATGATTCTGGAAACCTGTTCAGCGACAAATATGACGGCAACTATCGCCACCAAGAGATTAATTTTCGAGCTCTGGGCAGACTGTTGGGAACACGAGAAAGTCTTCTCAACTACAACCTCAGAACTGACTCTGTTGCCGCCGTTGAATCGAATTCTCCATGACGTATGTCTGCTTCTGATCTTGCAGCAGACAAAGACGCTGAAGACTATCATAAGAGAAATCGAAGCTATTGGGAGCACGAAATTAATAAAGATGTTGTATATTACGTACTGTGTAGTGAAAATAGAATCCGTAGTTTCCAGCGCATATGTTATGGTGCCATTTCTGGTGTATGCTTCGGCCACGTACATAAAGCAGTCCAGCAAATGTAAGGAACTTAGCACGAAGCTCGCCGTTACGCTGATCAAGAATATGTTGAATTTGCGTCGTTCCGTCAGCGAATGGTACCACACCGGGGCATAGATGGACAGGAAACGTTCCGATGACAGTATGATCGACAACAGATTACTGAAAGCAGAGAACATATCTGCCAGAGCAAATGCAACACCGACGAACTTGGTGGCGGTTGCAGAAAGAGCGAGAAAATCTGATCCATAGTAGTACAGCACGTTAGCGATCAAATTGATGGAATTGTAAGCCAAGTCTGAACCGCACATCGCCATCATAAACAGTGCAAAGCTGGAGTGCCTGCGGTAGGTTTGCGACGAAAGAGTCATCAAACACAGGATGATGCCCACGATGCCGAACGAGCATATGAAAATCAACCATAAGGTTTCAATCTCATCTTCTTGATCCAAAATGTCAGAACTCTGCTGAACTATTTGTCGCAAAGTTTGGTCTCCACTGACAGTGTTGTAGCTTTGGTTGACCGCAGTGTGGGAACCACTGACGTTCGCCATCTTTTAAGTACGTCACGGAAAAGAATTGCAGGGGACTTCGTTAAGGCAAACTGCGTAATTTCTGTGTAACGTAGGCAATGCGGCCCGATTTTACCGTCCACCAGAACCAAGCAGGACGACCAGTGAAGAGCTCATGCAGAACTCAGCGGTTAAAGGCAGACCGTATCCTTGGAACATGGGCTATCTTCCTACATGGATAGCACCACGCATAAAGTACTGAAATGTTTGAGAATGAGTGAATTGAAAATGAATTCAACCATCAAAATTGTCAATCATGCAGGGGGTGGATTCGATTAACTTTGCCGCAAAGTCATCGAGTAATAGAAATTGGCTGTGTTTGCTGATCTATCTGAGATACGGAACTGTCACGCATATAGAAATTCAGATTCTAATTTCCGGCAGGTTGTCATTAAGAACTAACTGCGCTGGCTCAGTAAATTTGTTTCTATTTTATAGGAATCAATTACGAAAAACTTTTTAAGCCACTTTCTGAAGTGCGGTGCCAGTGATGTCAGTAGTACGTAGCTCGGTATCCACTAATGCAGTGTAACCAAAGCAGCGCGCAACGAAAGGGTGTGAAAGGAGATTTAATTAAAGATCGATATAATTAATTAATCATTAATTCTACTGTCAATTCAGTGGACTATGAGAAAATTATATGCATGACTCTGTTGGACATTTATGAAATAGCGGTATTGCTATCGGGAGTTTCACCTTGATTAGCACTAACGTAGCGGCATGCTATTTCTAATTACATGACTAAAATATACAGAAGTCACGGCCATATCTTCATGTGTCCACGAGCACGAAGACGTGGCGCGGTTAGGCAACAATATTCAGGAAATCCGCACGTGGTATGATTACAGGACTCGCACAAGTTTAAATCACGAATGTAGCCCTGCTTTTCATAATCAGTGTAAAAATATAATGCTCATGGCAATAGGGTAATATGCAATTGAGCATAATAGGCTAGGAAAATACTCGTATTA